TAGGTATTGCAAGTTTGATGAACTCAATTACAGTTTGTTGAGGTTTCCTCTTCTCTAGTATGAAAAATCAAGTTCCTTTTTCTTTTGGTGTGTGTTTCATTGATGCAACTTCAAAGATAAGGTGTTCATATTAGCAACAGAAAAATATACAATTTTAGAATGGCTTCATGAATTCATCAAGAAACTGAGTCAACTGTTCGAAACAGACATGCCAACTAAATCCAGGAATTTACATTTTGAAACAGTATGATTCGAACACTTTAACCCCTAATTCTTATATGCACATTCATTCTTCACACGTAAGTTCAATTTTCAGGAGCTTTTCCTCATATTTAGAGGGTCATTCATCCCCTCATATGCACATCCATTTTAATGCACTTTTGATGTCTCACACAAGGTTAGTTAAATGAAGGCTAAGAATAAAACAGACACGCAAAAATCTTAAACTAAACCATGAAACACCCGTTTTGGGTAATTATAGAAATTGTTAACAAACACTCAACTATTAGAGCTTAATAGCAGTATTAAAGAATATGAAATTTAACCAAGGGCTTGCATCTTATCACAATAAAATTAATCTAAGACAACAGAGATTTCTTTCTCCATGAATTCAGCTATCGACTTACAAGAGAGATGCTTCCTCATTACTTCTCTAATGGTTGTTGGACTATAAAGAGCAGAAAAGTTTGTAATTCCTTTTCCATATGCAGCCAATATTATTAATTCCAGTAGCCAGTCATTTTTTATTACTTAGTTACAATCTAAAAAAAAAACTTTTTTCCTTATCTAATTACACATTGACCAAAGATTGAAGGAAACATTTGGTTATTCCATATGAAGTTTACATAAAACAAGCAAAACTATTGAAGTTTATTACTAAGGACATGATCTTAAATTTGATACATTAGATGGCAAAGTAATGCAATATGTGAGTAAATCTTTAGTTATTAGTTTACTTCTATTTACTCAGAAAGTAATAGGCACAAGTAGTAACATACAAAAAACAAGAAAGAAGGGATATTAAAAAAAGAGATTATAGGTAAAATATTAGAATGAAACCCATTTTACCTTCAAAACACTGACTTGAATTTCCATCCTGAAAAAGATATCTAGCCATGTAAAAGAGAAGATAAAAAGCACCCAAAATTTGCAACAGTGTAAGCACCAAGGCAAACCGGCTCCACCAAAGCCATGTTTTGTATTTCACCTATTCAATCAAAAAATAAAAAAAAAATTAAAAAGACCCCCAATTTAGGTTTCAAGATACAGACAAAAAATATATATATTATATTTAGTTAAAGGTATACGGTAGCTACCCGTCTGTCGTGACGAATAACAGCGTCAAGGACGTCAGTTTCAGAAGGAGAATTGGTTATGGTTTTGGCAGTGGCTTCTTGGGCAATTCCCAGTTTGATCATTGAGTGTCAGGAAACGCTACCCTTTTGGACATTATCCATTAACTATTTAATTCAGAACTAGAACAGCCATCAGAAGTCAGAACTGGTCATGCTTCAACATGTAGATTAAGACAAAACAATAAAGTAAACTCACTTGACAAACACGGCCTCGACGAAGAACTCCAGGAGGTAAATTCACAAATTTTAAAAATGCTGCTGCTGACCTCGCCACCAGTTATCACCATCAAGGGCAGGACGCCTAATAAGGAAAGTGGAACTTACATAAGAAAGTGGAATATAACAAATCTCTAGAAGATATGCTTAACATGTACAGATAATTGGAGCTAATATTTAACAGGACAAGTTAATCCTTACATATGAATAAGTATTGCATGCAAATATCTATACAAGCATGTAAAACATAAGATTGCATAAATTTGCTCAAACTGAAAATTTGATAAACAAAAGGAGCATCAACACTGGTTCTTCATCCTGAACTTTTTACGACTGTGTTGTTCATCATGCTATATAGATAATCATGCACCTCAAGTGAAATTCGCCTCTATATTGACAACCTGTTACGAGTCCACGGGGTCAAAATCCCTTGCCTATAGAGCCATGCACATGGAAATACAAAAGGATTTCTTTCCAAAATCAAGCAAAGGGCCCTGCATTTGTAAAGGTTTTTTAGGTTTACCATGTAAATCATGGGGAGTATATTTAAACAGTACGCTCTATCATTATACCGTGTAGGCAGCTTCAGCAAATTTATGAAAAGCAGCAGCCACCTGCAGGTGTTCTAGAGGTGCCTCAACAAAACATTCATTGCTTTACGGGATTGACCATGCTTCTGCAACAATGCTAGACCTGAAAGATAATACTTCTAATATGTCAAGCCAAATAAGTATAACAAAGGAAACAGAAACATGAAAAAGTTGCTACTGAATGCACGTAATCACAGATTTACAGAAACACAACCCCCCCCCCCCCCCCCCCTTTCTTATTTCTTTTTGGCTCCACAGAAGAAAGCTTGTAAAACAGTTACAGCATACATCTTAAGAATTTTAACCACGTCGAGTCATAATCCATTGAATTTTTCCATGTAAGAAACAGAAATTACTTTAGCCTTTTCGCTGAAAAATTTATAAGAAAATAAATCCTTTTATTACATGAAGCATGCCCAATTTTTGTGTCTTTCAATCATAGATGCTTGAAAATATATAGCAGCAACCCCAAATATGTCATGGAAGTCCAGAAAAATAACAGAAACAATGAAGCTGGTAAAAGGAATTGAAGTTGGGACACCCCTCTTCTGGTGTCATATCATATCTAAGTAAGAATTTATTATATCTTTCAAAAAAAAACATATGTGGATAAGAATTTATTATATTGTGAAACATGAAAGCATTTTTAAATTCTTAGAATTTGACACATGGGAATATCTGATTACCTGATTTATATCTTTGAACAGATGTCGAGGATCTAGTTACACATGCAACCCCTTGAGGTAATAACCGTCACAGATTCTTTGTATCTAGGTTCTATATTAGCTAAAGTTAACATGTAAAAATTTCAGAACTGTCTCCGAGTTTTTTTAGAAGCTTATTGGCAAATCACATATTTTACAAAAATATCCACCACAGAGGTTAAGGATCAAGGGTCAAGAAAACAGAAATTGCAAAATGCCTTTGATTGATGTAGAATATGCAATCAATAAATTGAAAACAAACCTGTCAAGAGTTCCAAATGTCCAGTGCCTGATGCACGGTAAGCAACAAGATCACCCAGTAATTTTGCTACTGAATACACTTCATCATCTTCCAATACAGTTCTGGAAAAAGTACAGAAAGAATTTAAAATCCAATGGCTTGCACAACTAGTATCTCCATTTATTCCAAATTGTAGAAGTACCTACAAGTATTCAATACGTCCCAGACAGCACAAAGCCTCACGAATTCCATAATCAAATACCTCTTGATAGTGAGCTTTCCATGCATCATCTTGTGTTGCATAAAAAAACCTCCATCTTAAGACATCAGATCCTGTAAAACACTGCACAAATGCAATACAACATGCTGTGACCATAAATACAACCATTACTTTTAGCTTCCATGCACCAGTGCTTGCAGCCAGCCCTACATTACAAAAATTGCCAAAGTTTCCATTAGAACCAGGAAAGGTGAATCTTTGCATTCAAAAATTCAGAGTGATTAAAATTACACCCTTCAAAGTTAATCAAGAGATCACTATACTTAAAATCCTGCCTACACTAACAATCTTAATGAGTCAGCAGCTTGACTGGTTATTTCTGAAACTTGAATTAAAATGTGGAGGAATCAACAAACAACAAACTATAGCACAAACAGTATTTAGGATTAATAAATTTGATGATAGAATTCTGAAGGGCCTCCTCATATCCCTCATCAAAATACAACTCAAAGGGGTAATAATAGAAATAACAGCAAAAGCAGCAGTGATAATAACAAGAAGAACAACAATAAAGATCTCCGTACCATCTCCAGAATATCCTTCAATCTGTGTGTAAAGATCCCGGGCAGCTTCTACTATACCTGAGTGCCCATAGTGCGGGAAAGATGATTCTACACGTTGCTTGACAGAAGGGTGAATGTAACTGCTACTGCAAAGAGGAAAGCATAGTTATTGAATGTCACATTATTTAAAGACACCAGAAAACATAACAAACTAGAAAAGCATAAAAACTTGCATTTTCAATACGAATGAGGAGGTTATTAATTAATTTGGAGGGGAAAAAGAAATGTGATGTTTGGCAAAGCCAGAAGAACTAATGACGCAATCTTAGAAAGAAGAATTACAATAGGAAGCACATTGATGCTGTAAAATTTCATATCCCAATCACACTTAGAATGATATAATTCCATATGGTGGATATCATCATTGGGGGTGTAAATGAACCAATAAGTTCATTGAACAGTCAGTGAACAAGCCTGGTTTAGTGTCACTATATTTGCTTATTAAGTTAAATGAACAAGTTTGAACAGTTTGAGAAAGAGCATTTAGTGAACAAGTCAAGTTCAAACATGTCAGCTTGTCCTTTTAGTTTTGCAACACTCATATTTTACTCATTTATTGTTTAAGGCAGAGTAATATCCTAGGGTTGGACTTCCCTGATTCCCACTCTTATCAACTGCAGTTGCTGTTCCCTATATTCACTCCTTCAATCAGTTAAAGCCCTAGCCACACACCTGTTTCCATTCTGTTCAGATTTCACTGGACAGTCAAGTCACTTCCTGTCTCTCTTCCTCCAAATTCAAGCCCTAGGCTCCCAAAATCATTTTGGATAAGTTGCATTAAGCTATATATGATTTGCAGCTCTACACCTTTGGCAACACTGTTTCTATTTTTGCAACTTATTTGTTCACTACAAGCATGCATCATCATTGTCATCATCAATTAATTCGTATGTTGATTTGAAAGCTGGCAAACAGATTGTTTAGATACTCTTTCATGAGCTCATTTATTGAACTTTAGCCAAACTCAAGTTTATTGAAAATTAAGTGGGCTGAGCTTGAACATAGTGCGTAAAACTCAAGCCAAGCTAGAGCTTTACTTTTAGTTAAACAAGCAGAGCTCAAACAGGGCCAAGATCAACTAGGATCGGCTTGTTCATACCCCTATCACGATCCAGTTAAAGAGTTCAATGGAGAAGCTTCCTAAGATATTCACCAATACAATAATCCTACTATCTTTAACGTTTGGTAGTATTTTTTCAGAAATTAAACATCTCCATACAGAGGTACTGGGCATAGCTGCACCAAATAGATAGAAATGCTAAATTTTCCCGCTAGTCTGTGTATGAAACCACTGCTTCAACAAAGGAGAACACTAATCACCAGCCTCCTTCCCATTCCATACACATATTAATGGGCAACATACTAATAACTAAACAATGGATCTAGGTTTCATGAGTTGCGTCCTCAAATACTTAGTTCATTTTAACTTTTCCATAGACCATGGTTTTCTAAGTTCAGCGATTCAACTAATCCCAGAACATCAGGGGGGGAAAAACTTCCAAGCACTACTTATCACAGAATTTTTTGCCTGCTTGCACCAAGCTCAAGTGGTAGGTGAGATAAGGTTCTCGATAAAGAAAAATATGCTGATGCCAATTCAGCAAGTCATCACATCCCAAAAACAGACCAGAATAATTAGATTAGATAGCAGATAGTGATGAAAGCAGCAACCATATTTATAGGCATTTGTGGAAATTTGTGTATGTAAAGAGAGAGTGAGACTAACTTTATCAGTCCATCCAAATCCATCTCAGACAGAGGACATTCCCGGCCTAAACCGTCAGTTATGAGATCTTCAGGGGTCTCAGTTCCTCGTACAGCAATCACTACAGATCTTAGATGATGTAAGACCACAACGAAATATGCAGCTTCACATTTTTTCTAGGACAGAAAGTAGCAAAGAGTTAGAAGAGAAAACCTAGTCTTGACCTCTTTCCTGATGATTAAAAATCACCAGGATTGCAACATTATGCATATTTCCATTCTCGTAGGCCACACTTAGACTTTGGAGCTTGGAATTGGATTAGACAAATAATTTTTTTTTTCAATGTAATATTTTCATTCTCTTCAGCCTTATAGAAGAAGGTTGGCAAATTTGATTGGCTTTGTAATCTTATGGATAGGGTTACATAGCACTATGAAGACGGGTAGGCTTGTATATCCTACATGATTATGGTTGTAAAAAAGATGGAAAAAAATCTTGTCAACGCATGCATCAAAAAGGTAAAATAAAAACAGTTTACTCATCAATCTTCTTGTATCTATCCTAACTATACCATATTCATCAAATGTAATAAATACTGAAAGCAGGTACAAACTAGGTGGTCAAGGAAACGCTACCCTTTTGGACACTATTATCCCATTAACTATTTAATTCAGAACCTAGAACAGCCATCAGAAGTCAGAACTGGTTCATGCTTCAACATGTAGATTAAGACAAAACAATAAAAGTAAACTCACTTGACAAACACGGCCTCGACGAAGAACTCCAGGAGGTAAATTCACAAATTTTAAAAATGCTGCTGCATGACCTCGCCACCAGTTATCACCATCAAGGGCAGGACGCCTAATAAGGAAAGTGGAACTTACATAAGAAAGTGGAATATAACAAATCTCTAGAAGATATGCTTAACATGTACAGATAATTCGGAGCTAATATTTTAACAGGACAAGTTAATCCTTACATATGAATAAGTATTGCATGCAAATATCTATACAAGCATGTAAAACATAAGATTGCATAAATTTGCTCAAACTGAAAATTTGATAAACAAAAGGAGCATCAACACTGGTTTCATATCCTGAACTTTTTACGACTGTGTTGTATCATCATGCTATATAGATAATCATGCACCTCAAGTGAAATTCGCCTCTATATTGACAACCTGTTACGAGTCCACGGGGTCAAAATCCCTTGCCTATAGAGCCATGCACATGGAAATACAAAAGGATTTCTTCCAAAATCAAGCAAAGGGCCCTGCATTTGTAAAGGTTTTTTAGGTTTACCATGTAAATCATGGGGAGTATATTTAAACAGTACGCTCTATCATTATACCGTGTAGGCAGCTTCAGCAAATTTATGAAAAGCAGCAGCCACCTGCAGGTGTTCTAGAGGTGCCTCAACAAAACATTCATTGGCTTTACGGGATTGACCATGCTTCTGCAACAATGCTAGACCTGAAAAGATAATACTTCTAATATGTCAAGCAAAATAAGTATAACAAAG